TGGTCGGTGCTCATCCGTGCTTGGATCCATGCTTGGATCCGTGCTTTGATTTAGTGGTCAGTGCTTCGATCCGTGCTTCGTCTTCATTGCTGCTCATCGTGTTCGCTCCTTTGGTGCTCATTGCTCTCTCTCTCTCTCTCTCTCTCACACACACACACACATTGTGCTCTCCTTTGCTGCTCGACGGGGACTTGGTGCCGTGCTTGGATTCATGCCCATCTTCGATCCGTGGTCTTGGTGCTCGGTGCTCATCATGGATACGTGGTTTTTGTGCTCATCTTCTCTCCGTTGGTCCTCATCGTCTTCTCTCCATTGGTGCTCATCGTGTTCTCTCCTTTGCTGCTCGGACTTTTCGTGCTTGACAGGAACTTTGTGCTCTTCGTGCTCTCTCTCTCTCTCTCTCTCTCTCTCTCTCTCGCTCTCTCTCTCTCTCTCTCTCTCTCTCTCTCTCTCTCTCTCTCTCTCTCTCTTTCTCTCTCTCTCTCTAGTACTCTCTCTCTTCCTCTCTCTTAGTGTGCTCTCCTTTGCTGGTCGACGAGGACTTCGTGGATCCGTGCGTGGATTCGTGCTCATCATTGATCCGTGGATCCGTGCTTGGATTCGTGCTCATCATTGATCCGTGGATCCATGCTTGGATTCATGCTCATCATTGATCCGTGGATCCGTGCTTCGATTCGTGTTTATCGTGCTCATTGTCTTCTCTCCATTGGTGCTCATCGTGTTCTCTCCATTCGTGCTCGACTTTTCGTGCTCGATGGAAACTTCGTGCTCATCGAGGACCCCTGCTTTTCTTTGGAGCACGACCACGTGCTCATCGTGGATTGTGCTTTTGGTCACCTGCTCATCGTGGATCCGTGGTTTTGGTCACGTGCTGACCGTGGATCCGTGCTTTTGGTCACGTGCGGGAACTTTGGTGCATGATAACGTGCTCATCTTCGATTCGTGCTTTTGGTGGTCGGTGCTCATCGTGCTCGGTGCTCATCGTGGATACGTGCTTTTCATGGTCATGTTACGATCCTGGTCATTTCCAAAGTGCAAATTCACAATGAAAGACAATGCCACCCAATTGCGAAAGAAATGAAAGCACTTGCAAAAAGATAGAGACCAAAGGAGAGAGAAAGAAGAAGAAGGAGAAGAAGAAGAAGAACATATGCACCAGCAAGACCAATGACAATTCCCCCCTTCTCTCTCCACCTTCCTCCTCCTCCTTCACTTCGCCAATCTTATTCTTCTCTCAATAATAATAATAACAATGAATGGATGAACCAGAATCAATATCCGAAGTTCCCGCTTACTGCTGACTCAACAACAACAACAACCAGTCCACCATAGCTATGGCTTCCCTCCTTTGGCCTCCTCTCTCATGCATAGGCTATGGCGGACTGCTGAGGGCCCTGCCCTCCTGTCCAAAGGACAACGCAAAGCAGCTATGGTGCTGCGCTGATGTCCGAAGGACAACCCAAAGCAGCTATGCCGCTGCTGACTGGCCCGCCATGCCTGACTCTGCCTCGAGCTTCCCTGGTGCAGCACTACCCCAACTGGAGCCTTCCAGATGCAGCGCTCAACAAGGTGATGAAGATGGTGTCTACCATAGCCAGGTAAGTGCCTCGCCACTCTCCTCCTTCACTCCCTTCTTCCTCCTCCTCAAGCTGGACTGCTCGCCATAGCCAGGCTGAGCTCCAGCTGCCCTTCACCTCCAAGCAGCGCTGTACCAGTCCAGCGCTGTGCTCCAGCAGCATGTCGCCAATCCTTGCACACCGCAAATGAGGAGGAGCTACTTGCTCCTCCGAAAGATATAGCGGCCTACTGGCCTCTTGGGCGGTGACTTCCTAGGCCGAGCGGCCTCCCAGCAACCGGTACCTCCTGCCTTTCGGAGGGAAACATCATTGCAGGCTCTGCTAACCTTCAGACAGGCCCTAGACCCAGGCTACTTGGACTGGTACCGACCTACCTCTATCCTACCGCTACTGGGCCTCTAAAAATGCCAACTTTTTGTCTTCTTCTGCTCGGCCTCCAATMCCCGACACTCCCACCACTACTCGAGTGGTACCGGCCTACCTGCTACTTGAGTGTTTTTCCCCGCTGCTCTAAGTGTCACGGGCCTACCCCCGCTACTTGAGTGTTTACCCCCCCTGCACCCCCCTTTCGGAGGGAAACATCATTGCAGGCTTGCTAACCTCCGGACAGGCCCTAGACCCGGGCTACTTGGACTGGTACCTACCTACCTTTATCCTACCGCTACTGGGCCTCTAAAAATGCCAACTTTTTGTCTTCTTCTGCTCGGCCTCCAGTACCCGACACTCCCACCACTACTCGAGTGGTACCGGCCTACCTGCTACTTGAGTGTTTTTCCCTGCTGCTCTAAGTGTCACGGGCCTACCCCCGCTACTTGAGTGTTTACCCCCCCTGCAAGCCTCGAAGTCACGGCCATAGGTAAGTACCGGCCCTGCGGGGCCTTGCAACCAACAAGTACCCTTGCGGGTCACACACACACTCAACCGACAAGCACTCAGACAGGCATGCAAACCAGCAGGCACGCACACACACACAGACATGGAAATCACAGCAGAATGCGGGAATTTTAGCAAGGCATTCATTCCAGTGGCAAATCCCAGAAATCAGCAGTGTTCTCAATCTGTGTTTTTGGCGGGTCATTACATTACCCCCCTCTCAAGAGCAAGGTCCCTTCGAGCGAGTAACTCATTCAGAGTCGGCACAAAAAGCATTGTAGGCGTAGATAAAAAAGAGAGACTTAGTAATACCGTAAGGAGTGAGTCTTGCAGAAAACTTAACAGTCTGTCCATTGATTTGTCGTTCATTTGCGTTCACAACACATGGAACATTCTTTAGCAGCTCTTTCCGGTCGATGCAGAAAAACTCGTTCAATGGGTGATAGAGGAAGTGAACCTTATACCGTCTGTTCCTCCCTCTGCCTTCATGGGAAATGATTCTGTCTATCTCATGACCGTTGTCGATAGGACGAGGTATCATAGGATCTCGGAAGGGAAAAGTTTCATTATCAATGTGTGGAAATAGTTTGGATGCATGGAAGACCGGATATGTGCGCAGATGAGGAGGCACGTCAATCACATATGAAGGACCAAATTCATCCCCTGTCACCTTCAGAACCTGCCAAGGGCCATAGTACAGTGGAAGAAGCTTTCGTGATACGGCCTCTTCATTAGAAAACTCAGACATGTTGACCCAGACATAATCCCCTACTTTGAAGTTCGCTTCTTTGCGCGACTTGTTAGCGTGTTTGATCATGGCATGCTGACGCTTGTTCATTGTTGCGATAGCAACTTTGAGCAGGCGTGCGTACTTGGCATTGTAGCCAGGCATGCCGGGCGTCAGACCAGGTGACCGTTCGGGGAACAAATAGGAGAGAGGATTGCACATCTGCCAACCATATTGCAATTGATTCGGTGTCACGCCAGTTGCACAGTGAATGGAGTTGTTGTACAACCCTTTCACTTTGTATAACTCCTTGTCACACGTGTTCTAATCTGGAACAATTAACGCGCCCTGTAGTTGGATGACAGTCTGGTTGATTTCCTCAACCAATCCATTGGCTTCGGGATGTCGACCAGAAGTGTTGTTGAGTTTAATGTCATAGATCTGTGAAGTGAAGTCCTTCCAATCTGCGCTAATGGACCTGGTGTCCCGATCACTCACAAGAGTTTTCGGGGGTCCATAGTGCAGAATGTACTGCTGGTGAAATTCTTCAATCACTAGCTCAGTTGGTGCATGAGGAGGTAGAGAAATCAAATTCAGAAACTTGGAAAAACGATCCATAATGACCATGACTTGCGAATGTCCTCCCTTGCTCAACTTCCCCATGTCCGTGAAATGGATAGAGACCGACTCACCGGGCCCATCAGGAATTGGGAGGGGTTTCAGCAGGCCATACGGCTTATGCTTATGGACCTTGGTTCTTTGACAGACTTGATATTCAACAATAAATTTCTGAGCAGATCCCTTCATTCCCGGCCAATCAAACTGCTGCAAAAGCCTTCCATAAGTCTTCTCAAAGCCCGAAATGTCCACTCCGACCATGTGCCAGATCCAAGAAATGAGTTCGGAGAGGCGCATGGTTGGGTACACACAAACGATCAAACTTCCCATACCGGCGGAATACAAGACCCTCGCACTCATGAAAATCAGGATGACTGTTAGGGTCAGCCTTGAGCTGCTCAAGGATGGGACTAAGGTCCGGATCCTTGGCGGTGTGTTCGGCCAGATTCCCCTTCAGTTTCCTGCGGAGGTCATACGAACCCACAAGGCAAGTCAAAAACTCAGGATGGCGTGATAGAGCATCAGCAACACGGTTATAACAACCTTTCTTGTGTTTCAATTCAAAACTATAAACATCAATGTCATGCAACCAGCGGGTCAGTGTAGGAGAGAGATCAGTTTGTGTTTTAATCCACTGCAAGGTCTGATGATCTGAGTAGACCTTGAAGTGATGACCCAAGAGGTAGTGCTTCCAATGTGCGAGCACCTCGCGCAAGGCGTAGAGCTCAGGCATATACGTGAAGGTAGCTACCTTTTTTTGTGGCTGGGCATGCGTTTGCTGTAATACTCAAGCGGACGCAGGCCATCACCATCATCTTGTTGCAGCACTACACCAATCCCTAACTGACTCGTGTCCGTAGTGACTACGAATGTGAGGTTGGGATCCGCAATGCGGAGCACAGGATGACTCACCAATGCCTCTTTCAAGGCTTAGAACGCAGTCTCACATTTCTCACACCACACATAAGCAACATTCTTACTTGTTAGTCTCGAGAGTGGGTGAGCAATGACAGAAAATTTAGGCACAAACTTCCGGTAATATGAGGCCAAACCAAGAAAAGAACGCAGTTCGCGTACGTTCGCTGGTTGAGGCCCATTTCGTATGACCTCAACCTTGGTTGCCTCCGGCTCAAGGCCGTTTGCAGACAACCGGTGCCCAAGATAGATGACGCTGTCCCTTCCAAACTCAAATTTCTCTAAGTTGAGGTGCAGTTGTGCCTCCTTGAGGACTTGCAAAACTTCCTCAAGGTGCTTGACGTGCTCTTCCATGGACTTGCTGAAAATCGGGATGTCATCGAGGTAAACAACAACAAACCTGTTGAGCTGATGGCGAAGAACCTTGTCCATGAGGCACTGAAACGTGGCTGGTGCATTCGTAAGACCGAAGGGCATAACGATGAATTCATACAGCCCATCGCGTGTTTTGAACGCAGTTTTGTGCTGGTCACTCAGATCAACTTCAATCTGGTGGTAGCCAGACTTGAGGTCGATCTTGGAGAAGACCTTGCACCCACCTGCAGCATCCAGCAGATCATCTATACGAGGCAAGGGGTACGCGTTCTTGCGGGTGATATGGTTTAGGCCACGATATCCGGAGTTTGCCTCCTTTCTTCGGCACAAACAGGACAGGTGCACCGAGCTCAAACTCACTAGGCCTAATCCATCCACGGTCGATCATATCATCAATTTGTCTCCTCAACTCCTCCAACTCGCCTTGTCCCATACGGTAGACGTAGCCCTTTGGAGGAACACTCCCTTCTATTATCTCGATCTTGTGTTTGACCGGACGCTCGGGAACTGCACGAGGTTCGGCCAGAACTTCAGGGAATCATTCTAATAGACGGCGAATGTTTGTTGGGACTTCTGGTGGAGGATCATTCTCATCAAGAGAAAGAAAATCAGATCGGAAATTTACAGCAATTACAACCGGATTTGAAGTACTTGGATCAGAAGGAGACTGGCTTTTTACAATAGAAGTAGATGGAACAGAAGTAGAGGTAATAGAAGTAGAATTACCTTCAGAGGTAGAAAATGCAGCAAAAGTAGAAGGCACATGGAGAGGTTTTACAAGAGCTACATGTACATGCTCAGCTTCCTTGCGCCTGCGCACTGACTTGCAGAATTTGTTCGCACTCAAAATGTTACAGGGGACTCGCGCGTCTCGTCCAATAGAATGGTACGCTCGTTCCCCTTGGCATCACGCACCACGAACTGATTATCCGCCCACGTGGTCCTTGGGCAATGAGCCTTTAACCAGCCCAAACCAATGACCGCGTCGAACGGACACTTGTCCATGACATAGAAGTTCAGCTCATGTGTGACAGTGCGATCCTTGTCAAAAGTGACGCGCACACCTTTGACAACATGTGTGGAGGTGACAACCTCTTGGTTGCCCACCTGGGTCTCAATTCCACTTGCTTCATCCCCAGGCCCACCTTACGAATCCCGTTAGGAGAAAAGAAATTGGTGGTTGAACCACTATCAATCAGCACGCGGATGTATCGGCGGTTAATGAGCAGTTTAAAGAAGGTTAGCTACGCACTCCTTTGACCACGGCATTGCTGCTTGAGCTGCAGCCAATGTTCCAGGTGAGCATGGAAGTCAACTTCCTTGGACTCCTCCCAAGGATCAGTGTATAGCACATGAACTGCAGCAGCCTTGGATTCAGCGTCGTTCCGAGCTTCAAGAGTAGGCTATTGATCAGATTCAGGCTCATTGGAGGGGCCTGCAACTGATGGCTCAACTTCCCTTGTTGTAGAGAGTGCTGATGACTCTTCTACGCCCTTTGCTTGTTTCCCTGCAG